GCTCATTTGATCAATCAGACCAATGTTTGTTTCTAAATTTGAAAAAATACTGATATGGCAAATTCAGAAAATTTCATAGTGGTAAACAAATGAGAACTTAATCTGCAAACATTTTAATAAACTAATATATAATACCTAAAAACCTTAATTAAAAGGGAAAATAATTCCCAGAGTTACCTCCCTTTAACTGATTTCTTTAGGTGTAGTAACTTAAGTGCCGTACATGATATACATGTAGTGTCATTAAAGATAGTAGCAATAAAAGCTCTAAATAAATCAGCAGCAGCTTTCAAATATAAAAACATGTGAACCATAAATTAACTTTCTTTTCCAGGTTTTTTCTCTTTTGAACTGCTGACATGAACTTTCCACACTGATGCTAAAAGGGCTGTGAATGCTTCATATAAAACACACCAACAAAGTTCCCACTATAACATATTAATAGACATTTTGTTGTGTATACGATTTACATCTAACAAAAGAAACTCCTGTTTTAAACTTTCCTTTTGTTAATTTTGTTTTAACAAATGTTATCTTTGCATTGCAAATCAATTGGTCACTTATTTTGTGCATGTTCTCTTTTCACCATCATTATTTCATGTACTATAAAATGTTCTCATAAGAAACCTTACACATTTAATTATTGAAGTAGCTAATCACTAAACACGCTTAGGTCATCATGTCTCTTTTGATTCATGACTGACCAGGCAGAAGATTTTCCCACAGTAGGTTTCTGTTTCTTTCTGCGGTAGACTAGTTGCCAACTAAGGATATAGGACTCAGTAAGTCCTGCTATTCAACCCATAGCTGATGGGAGAATACGTATATTCATACCTTTCCCAAGAGCATTTGTGCAAAAGGGAATATAACAAATCCAACTGGAATTTGAACTCAGCTCAGCAATTTCTCAATCTGAGCTGTTAACTACTGAACCACTCGCACATCCCCTTTGTTAGGTTAAATTATATAAATAACATTTTTTATAGCTCCTTCTATGGTTTCTGCTATCAACTCTAACCGGGATCTCCACACGAGTCAGCTGATGAAGGCTTTGGTTAAAGTGTCACCGCGGCAAAGTGTCTTTCTTTGTAGTTTCAAGATTTTTCATTTTCACAGGCTTTGTGTTGGTGGAGTTGTATTTGCAAGATTTATCATTACTAGTTTGTTTTGAATACATATATGTTTGATCCAGTGATCTTCAGCTACGAAGAATATTGCAGCAAGCAAGGTTCTATTTTCCCTTTTTAAAGAAAGCTCATCCTTTTCACTCAGCTTTTGAGAAAACAGTCTGAGTGAAGAGGATGTGCTTTCCTTAAAAAAGATAAATACATACATACATACAAATACAGAGGAACGATGGCACTCTCATCAAACTCTACTCTTGACTCATCCAGAATATCCTTGCCTAACTTTCCTCCTAGAACCGAATCTCTTTTGAGTAATACCTACATAACCCCTCCTATGCTTTCTGCTGTTATCTGTAACCTACATCCTCCCCATAAAGCATGTGAACCCGATGTATCCCTGTAATAGTCATTAAGAAGTGCACACTCGAACTGGCTCCTGTTCTCTCAAAACTGTATAATAAATGCCTTACTGCCTCTTGCTTTCCTGCTTGCTGGAAGTCCTTATCTGTTGTTCAAGTTTTTAAGAACTTGGTCGAACCATCTGACCCTTTCAACTATCGGCCAATTAGTCTCCAACCTCTTTTTTCAAAAGTACCCTTTGCATTAATTTGCTTTGATGAGAGACCAACATGCATAGATGTTTTTTGCCATTATCTAAAAAGGCATGAAGCTAAGAAGCAATTAACATTTTCGAATGGTCCCAGACACCAAAAATATTTTTTTTTCTTCATGTTAAAGGGTGAGGTTCATTATCTGCTGTTTCTTATAAGTATGGATGGCTGGAAATATTCTTTTTCATTCACTTTTCTATCATCCAGTTCTTTGTAGGCTCCAAACCTACATGCCCATGCAAAATTAGCCATACTTTATGTTGGAAAAGCATAAAAGCTGTAAATATTAGTATTTCTTATATAGAAATGGAACTTCTGTTGATTATTTTAATAACATATCATTCTAATCTGGGTTAATTAATGTTAAAATCAGTTTTTTATAATTACTTTAGTCAAAGGGTAAACATTGGTTGGGTCGGTATTTCAATCAAAAGGTAAACATTGGTTGGGTCGATATTTCAATCAAAAGGTAAACATTGGTTGGGTCGGTATTTCAATCAAAAGGTAAATATTGGTTGGGTCAGCATTTCAATCAGAAGATAAATATTGGTTGGGTCGGTATTGCAATCAGAAGGTAAATATTGTTTTTTTTTTGTTTTTTTTTTTAAGCATTTCACCCCAAGCAAGGCGGGAAGCCACTAGGACGCAAGGGGTTACAGAAAATAGGAAGATCAGATAGGAGTGATAGAAGATAGGATGAGGGTAGTAGATAGATTAGGGCAACTGGAGATGTCGATTGACATTACACTTGAATAGCTGGAGATTATAACTCACAGGGAAACAGGAGAAGGGAAGAGAGTTCCACAGGCGAGAGGTGCGAGACATGAAGCTATTAGAGTAGAAGAGACGGCTACATTTAGGAGTTTCGACAGTGAAGGGATGAGAGCGAGATGCCAGCCTCATAGGGCGCTTGAACTCATGAAGTCTGGGAACCAGCGAATGCAGCTCCTCGGAGCAATTTCCCTGAAAGTATTTGTAGAACAGACAGAGGGAGGCGACGGAGTGCGTCTGTGAGAAAGTGACTGTAGACGAGACGCCAGGGCAGGGCCAACCATATTGCATATCCGCTTCTGGAGCCTATCAAGAACCCTGAGGCAAACAGAAGGGGCGCCAGACCATATATGGCAGCAATACTCCATGCAAGGGCGAATTGTGGATTTGTATATCTGGAGGATCGACTCAGGGAGAAAAAACTTCCTAAGCAGCGGCTCAGGGAGCCAACTTTCCTCGCAGTGGACGAGGCAATTGACTTGATGTATTTATTCCATCTCAGGTCAGCAGTCAACGTGAAACCGAGAAGCCACAGAGAGTTGCTCTCGAGAAGTTGAGCGTCAGACATTCGAATGGAGGGAAGGGAAGGCTCTCTGTGGCGATTAATAGAGAGCAGTTTTGTCTTCGAAGCGTTGAAGTTGACCAGCCAATTCATGCCCCAGTTCACAATCGATTGGAGGTCCTTTTCGAGACGCACGGCAAAGTGAGTTTTGTCAGCGAGACTAGATTTGTTTTTGAGGCAGGAATAAATTGTGGTGTCATCCACGTATGCCGACTTGAGAAGTTACGGCGTCAGGAAGGTCATTTATGTAGATAAGGAATAGAGTGGGGCCTAGGATGGAGCCTTGAGGAACACCTGCGTTAAAAAGGATAGGAACTGGAGGAGAATCCGTTGTGAACGACCTTCAATTTACGGTTTGACAGGAATGATTGTATTACGTTATATAATCGACCCGTAATGTCATAACCCTGGATCTTCTTGGAGAAGGCCGGTGTGCCAAACCCTATCAAATGCTTTGGAGATATCTAGTGCCACGGCTCGGGCTTCCCGTTATTTTGGAGAGTTCGGTAGACTGTTTCAGTGATGGCTGTGAGCACATCGGCTGTAGATCTGGCAAAGCGAAACCATATTGCTTGTCTGAGAGCAGATTATGGGATGTGAGGTGGTTAACCACCCGGTATTGATTAGAGCTTCAAGATTTTGCCGAAGAGGGGAAGGAGACTGATAGGACGGTAGTTGGAAGGGTCAGAGTGGTCGCGGAGTTCTTGAAGACAGGAACGATCGAAGGGGACTTCCAGCAGTCAGGAAAACAAGATTCCTTGAGGCAGTAGTTGTATAGTTTCGAAAGGGCGGGCGCCAGTTCAGGCACGCATTTCTTTAAGACAATGGCTGGTATCCCATCTCCACCACTCACCTTGTTGGGATCTAAATTGGAGATAACGCCCAGTACCAAAGTTGGGGTTATGTTTAACCCACTCAATATGGCCTCAGTTCTAAGAGGGAAGTCAGGTATGGGTACACCGGAAGAGTCGAGCATCGAGTTGGATGAAAATTTCTGAGCAAAGCATTCAGCCTTGTCGGTAGAGGAGGTCAAGACTTTGAACTGGTTGAATAGAGGAGGTATAGAGGGTTTGCAATTGTTCAATACACTCTTGCAGAGATGCCAATAATCTTTGGAGCCAAATTTGCGAGATGTAATACGTTCCTTCATTCGAGCCTCAAATAGTGACTTAGCATCATTTAGGACACGCTTACATTCGTTACGGGCGGAGGCAAAGAGACGTCTATTGCAGTCAGACATGTCGCTACGGTATAGGTGGAAGTAGTGGTTCCTATGGGCGATGGCGGCTGAGCAAGCAGCCGAGAACCAGGGGCAGGAGCGCGACTTAACCCTATATTTCCTTGATGGAATGAAAGCGTCGATTCCAGCTTTAACCCAGGAAGAGACCTCAGAAGCACATTCTTGGATGGGGAGCTTAAAGACTCCATCCCAGGGGACATCGCGGAGGAAATCACGGAACGCATCCCAGTCAGCTCGTTGATAATAGAACAAAGTTCTAGTGGTAGGAGGTTCTTTATAGGGGGTGGAGTTAAAGGAGATGTTAACTGATTCGGTATTGCAACCAGAAGGTAAATATTGGTTGGGTCGGTATTTCAATCAAAAGGTAAACATTGGTTGGGTTTGTACTTAAGTTAAAAGCTAAACATTGGTCTTTACTTGAGGAAAAAGTAAACTTTGGTATAGTCTTTAATTTTTATACTAATATTCACTTAATACAAGGCTCAAGAGCCACTCAAGAGAGAGGGTTATTGAATGAGGGTTATAAGTGTCTAAGAGCAGGAAGTAAGAAGTACATCTCATGAGGATATGTATGATAGATAAGTTTTGTTGTTTTTTTTTTTAATTGAGTTAACCCCAAACAAGACATGCCTATATTTGGTTAAAGGCATGAGATCATATTGTAAATAATGTATTTTTAGAAAACCTACCTTCCCATGAAGTCATCCTTCCCCGCCACATCATGGTCATACACAGTTAATTCAAGACAGTTTGTTTGATCATCATACATCCGCAAGTCAAATTGTTCCAACCATCGAGGATTCAATGTGTTTGGTTTGAACTGAAAATTAAGAAAAGGAAAATCCATTAAAAACTCACAGGACATGGAACATAGAAAAAGAAGAAGCTGTAGAAAAGGCAAAATAAGTTTCTTCAATCTCACAAGCACATTATTTTTTTTTCTCCCAAGTCTTTTGAACAGGAGTAGAGGTTTATCCCTTGTTTCCTGCTTAGGACTAGGTTTCTGGTTCAAAAATCTCCTTCAACTCTTTACTTCTAACATCTCCCCCTAAACTCTGAAATTTTATTTACTATTTATTTACTTTTTTCCCTTAGTAGGAGTAGATAAGTTTACCTATTGCCACGTTCACACTCATCCCTGGTCTTTTTAACAGGAATAGAAATATATATATATATATATATATATATATTATAGTAAAAAGAAAGAACAGTAAGGTATATAATCTGGTATTCTTACTGATATTTTTATTTTTACAAAACAGTGCTCAATGTAAATTTATAGAGCATAAATATTATAAATTAACTGATTTAAAAATGTGGTTCCTTTGTTACACAGGAATTACCATGTTTCAAAAACCGAAGCTAAAAACTTCAAATTTAATTATATAATTAAATTAAAAGCATTAGTTCTGTTTCATCTTCAAGTGAATTTTCCAAAATTTGCTTGAAGATGAAACAGAACTAATAGAAAATAGTGATGGAAATAGTGGAATGGTTTCCCATTCCCTTCTTCATGGTTTTGAATTATTGAGGAATCAGAGAGCCAAGTTCGAATTCCATTTGAATCCATTATATTCACTTATGTGCTAATACCCTTGGGAAATGTATGATTCTTCTTCTCCTCCCAGCTATGGGTAAATAGCAGGACAGACCGGGTTCTATAACCTTGGATGGCTACTGGTCTACTGCACAAAGAAATGGCAACCTACTCCAGGAAAAAAATCTGCCTCGTCAGTCATGTATCGAAAGACACATGATTGCCTAAGCACGTATCATGTATTTAAACTGACTGACTTTCTCCCTTTAGGATATAGACGATCTTTTTCTTTATTATCCATGAATTTCCATGCTTTCTTGGAGAAGATAGTGGTATGGTTTCCCATTGCCTTCTCCATAATTTGGGATTAAGATATTTTCTTTCATTTAGACCCAAAAGCAAGAGGACCCATTCATAAAGAAGAGATCGATTCATATTTTTTCCAAGGGTATTTGTGCATAATGCAAACAACAAGCCTGAAATTTGAACTCTGTTCTCCGATTCCACTTTCAATGCTAATAACCATCACACTACTTTCACAATCCATCCTGCTTATCCTAAAACATCTCAGTTTGAAGTTAATCACGAGAAATCATACAGATAACCGTAAGAAATATTTTTACAAATTAAATGCAATCAAAATCCTTTTATCATATTTTAATATTGATTATTAAAACTAAATCAATAAAATCAAAAGCTATGAAAGCAAAAATAAACTTACTTTTAATTGCAATAAAATATAAAATGCATATCGGAAATGATATTGTTTTCTGGTTCAGACTAGATCTTTCCCTGATTTACTCTACAGGATGTGATAGATAAATTGTTGCCTAAATTACTCAAAAATGAAAATAACACTGACATCTCATTTTAACAGGCATAGCTATCAGAATTACACAAAAAATTTTGAAATACTAAAGAGTAAATTTATTCAATAAAATCGCTACTGGCTTCAACCATGGCCTGCATATAACTTCTGAATCTACTGCAACTCTTCTGGATGGTCTTCTTGTTTAAGTTGGTGAATGTTGCCATAATCCTTGCCGTAGGTTTATTTTTGGTGTTACAAAGAATTTGTTGGTCTCATACTCAACTGTGCCCCACAGATAATAATCAAGGGGGTTGCAGTCTGGGGAGTTAGGTATCCAGATGTCAGGGGTGATGTGGTTGCAAAAATTGTCTGACAGCCATTACTGGATTCTCTTGCTTTTATGGCATGGTGCAGTCCTATTACCAGAAATAGGGTCTTCCAGCAGCCAACCTCTTGATCCAGGACAACATTATCTCTTCAAGGTACTTGATGTAGGCCTCCATGTGGAGTCTGATTCTTTGTGGGAAGATGAATGGAGGCATAATGTCACTATCACTAGTGATCACTTCAAACAACTTCATAATTAGACTCATCTAACTTTTTTCAAATTCTCTGCACTGTTCTCAGATTGACACACAAACACACTAAAATGTTTGTATTGGAGCTTTTGGCATGAATGCCAAGAAGTACAGCATGTCGTTTCCAAATTTCTTTTTCTGACAGACATCACCCAACTGACCCTAATATACTGTGCAGTTGACAAACTCAGAAACAAACAACACACATGTGCAAAATTAAAAATATAAAATGGCAACAATTTACCTATCACACCCTGCACATAAACTCTCTTGCCCAGATGTGAATGCTAAAAAAGCAAAGAATAAAAATAAAAATAAAAAAAGTTGCTCTCTGTGCAAGGGCTCCAAACATTACATCCAGCCCACAAAACAGATCTCCCCTACAAAAAAATATATATATATATATAATATAAAAAAGGGCCAATCACAAACATTGCTGCTAAAGGCATGATCCCACCCTGTCTACAACACCGCGACGAGATTTGCCAGTATTCATTGACATAAAGGAAGACCAATATTACATAGTGCAGTACTCTTTGTTTCTAATGAAATTTTCCTGTTTTAATAATACTTTGCTTAACTTTTGGAAGGCATCTTTTGCTATCCCAATGTGCCTTCAGATTTCAGTATTGCATTTTTCATTCTCTGTTAAAATGCTTCCAAGACATATAAATTTCTGTACTTGACATTAGTATCACCAATTCATAGTTCACTTTTCTAATTTTGTTCCCTATTCAAATATTTGCTGGCTTATCTTTAGGTGAGATATTCAAATAAGGGCAAGATTCTTCACTTCATTTTATATATGTATGTCTACTTTAGTGTGACAACTGATAAAAAAGCAAAACACAGAAAAAAAAAGGTAATAGTAATATTATCCATTTCCTAATAAGGAATCATTTATCGACTGAGCAGCCATTGTTACTTTCAGTTGAAATTTATAAAATCTTTCTCTGTCTATATTTCTGATATGAAATATTGTAATTATTTACACTATTTACATTGTTTGGACTGTTGTCTTCATCTTTGTTGCCATATTCACAATGTTTTAGTCGTTTTATGCTCCAGCCTGGAATTTCAAACTGAACACTTTATTTTGGCCACTGGGGTAGATTGTTCTAGTGTCATGCCTCTTCCAGATGTCTCAGTATCAGTATCTGTCTATATTTCTGAGATGAGGTATTATGTACAGTATTTACATTAGTCGGACTATTGTCCTCATCTTTGTCGCCATATTTGTCACAACGTTTTGGCCGTTGTATGCTCCTGCCTTCTTCAGGTGGTTGGAATTTCGAACTGAACCCTTTATTTCGATCACTGGGGTAGACTGTTCTAGTTCCACGTGCCATGTTTGATGGATGTCAGTTATCAGTTACCTGCTAATTTTCCCTCTGAAAGTTCTCCACTGCCTTAACCAGGTATTGAACTCACCTTCTTTGGGTCTGTCACTGGATCTAACCAATGCCTTTATCCACTGTGCCATGTGTCCTCAAGGACACATGGCACAGTATCAGTTATCTCCCTTTAGTATCAGTATCAGTTATCTCCCTTTAACTCAACTTTACATGTTTTTGTTCACCTCAGCTGTAGCCAGGTATTGAACTCACAACTCTCTGGGTCAAGGCACTAGATTCAATCAACACTTTTATTCAGTGAGCCAGGTTCAGTTTGAAATTCTAATTAAGGACACATGGCACAGTGGATAAAGGTGTTGGTTAGATCCAGTGATAGACCCAAAGAAGGTGAGTTCAATACCTGGTTAAGGCAGTGGAGAACTTTCAGAGGGAAAATTAGCAGGAGGTAACTGATAACTGACATCCATCAAACATGGCATGTGGAACTAGAACAGTCTACCCCAGTGATCGAAATAAAGGGTTCAGTTCGAAATTCTAACCACCTGAAGAAGGCGGGAGCATACAACGGCCGAAGCGTTGTGACAAATATGGCGACAAAGATGAGGACAATATTCCGACTAATGTAAATACTGTCTCAGTACCAGTTATCTCCCTTTAACTCAACTTTACAAGATTTTGTTCAGGTATTGAACTCACAACTCTCTGGGTCAAGGCAATAGATTCAATCAACACTTTTATTCAGTGAGCTAGGTTCAGTTTGAAATTCTAATTACCTGAAGAAGGCTGGTTTGGTTTGTTTTACAGCATATCAACCTCAATGGGTTATTTAATGCCGACAAGATTGTTATTGCTGGTAATATATTTTTCTCCAAAAATGTATTGCTGGTAATATTTTTTTCCAAAAAAATGTATTACTGGTAATTATGTATTTCTAGTAATAATTTTTTTCTTCAAAAATTCATTACTATTAATAATTTTTTACAAAAATATATTGCTGGTATTAAAACCTATTTTTATGCTTTTATAGTGTTTTGACCCCAATTTGGGGGTTAACTATTTGCTCATAGCTGGGATCCTAACAGGTACTACCACTCTGGGTCAGGGTGGACCTGGGAACATCAACAATTAAGAGGTGGTTCCACACTCCTCAAAACCTCCTGATCAGAGGCCTTGCTGTTGGATGTAGTTTATCGTCTTACCCAGGACACAGATATAGTTCATCGTCTTATCCAGGATGCCTCATTTGGTGGGGGTGTCTAGCCCTCTGCAGAGGTGCAAGATATCTGATGGGAAATCAATTAAAAATATTGCTAAAATGTTGATTCTGTATTGCTTGCAAAAAAAATTTAGTTTTATTTGGAGATACTGCTTATTTAGTCTCGCTGTGTGCATCGCTACTAATGCACTTTATCAAGCAGGGAAAACAAGGTCAAGTTATTTACTTATAAAGGTATCTAAGCAAAGCCATAATGGAATTGCCTACAAGAA